CAATAATAATTGTAAAGACAAAAATCGCGACTGTTAATCTCTGGCCTAGATATAACACGGCTTCTTTTCATAGCAAATATGAATGTGCTGGCATGTATTTACATGCACTAGTATATATAAAGCTACCTGCAGGTGTGCATCATTTTATCATCCGTAGATCAAACATCAAACAGTATTATGGCGAGATTTTCTGTCAATGTACATACATTGTCTCTCAATATCACATGAGGAGAGTCTCATATACGGAAAATACAGAGTTATGCCAGGCATTGAGATTTGCTACCCTGTCTGAGAATCATAAACCTGTGTTCATTGTTCAAATCTTCCCTCTGATAGCACAGTAGCCTTAGTTTTGCTTTTTTTTTCAAAGTCAAAGAAGAAATTAGACTATTTTTTGAGGAGACTGCTTGCGATCCTTGTGGTCAGAGAGTAATTCATAGCTAGCCATATGATCAGAAAAATTAAGCACAGGCAAATTTCGTTAATATCTAGATTGACAAATCCCAACGCTACGTTAACATTACAACCGCAGAAAGTTAAATAGATTTCTCTAATTGACGCCCTTTAAAGCAATGGCCAGTGCACGGTGTACATGTATTACTTGCCTGCCTACTACCCTCTGAAAACAGTAGCCTTTAAAATAGTACACAAAATTAAAGGCACAACAATTTTTTTTCAGAAAAATAGCGAACCCCGTGACCCGAGGGTGCCTGCCAAATAGTATTTTACAGGGTTACCACTTAATATGGAATATTATTTTTTGGCGAGTAAATTTTCTACAAAATATTTATTTTCTCTCTAACTACTTTAAATCCAAAGCTGAGGCGTCACTCCATGTGTAGCCAGGTGGGTTACCTTATTACCACACAACTCTCGAAACAATTGATGCATGCAGTTGCATGTTCTGTGGTCAGAAATGTGAGGGGTGGTCTTTTCGGCAATTTCTGCCCTTGTATAAAAACGCATGGGTTTGGTCAATCTTTGGAGTGTGTTTAGAGAAGCAACAAAGGGATCGCTCTGAAACTTGACAGGCACCTTATTGAAGACATGGTTCGACAGCCAAGCAACGCAGCTTACTATGGGACTCTTGCTCTCAGAGAAAATGTCCAGAAACGGACAGCCATTGCCAGGTAATTCAACATTTATCAGGAACCGTTTGTAAAGTCCTCCAAAGAAATGATGCAACAAGGGCACCTACTCCAATACCTCGACCAGGGTGTCCGCGTATCACACCAAGAAGACAGGATCGCCTTCTCCTTAGAGGACGCCGTGCTTGTCGTACAAAGACAACCAGTGTCCTCAGAAAGGAGAGGCAGAATGTCATTCAAACGCCCGTTTCAAGGTCAATCGTGAACAAGAGATTACTGCAAGCCGGTTAATTTGCACGAAGGCCAGTAGGGAAACCACTGTTAACAGCAGGTCATATACAGCGACGTCTGCAATGGGCTGGGGACCACGTGCGTTTGCACCCAAAACACTGGAATCACGACGTTTTCAGTGATGAGGCCAGATATGGATTTTTAGGGTTGATGGTCGAATCCGTGTCCACCGACGTGTACGAGGGGCATAAAACGATGATTGTGTACTGCCTAGGGTGCAAGCAGGGGATTGTAACGTCTCTGTTTGGGGAGCANGTCTGTATATATAAAGCTACCTGCAGGTGTACATCATTTTATCATCCCTAGATCAAACAGTATTATGGCGAGATTTTCTGTCAATGTACATACATTGTCTCTCAATATCACATGAGGAGAGTCTCATATACGGAAAATACAGAGTTATGCCAGGCATTGAGATTTGCTACCCTGTCTGAGAATCATAAACCTGTGTTAATTGTTCAAATCTTCCCTCTGATAGCACAGTAGCCTTAGTTTTGCTTTTTTTTTCAAAGTCAAGGAAGAAATTAGACTATTTTTGGAGGAGACTGCTTGCGATCCTTGTGGTCAGAGAGTAATTTATAGCTAGCCATATGATCAGAAAAATTAAGCACAGGCAAATTTCGTTAATATCTAGATTGACAACTCCCAACACTACGTTAACATTACAACCGCAGAAAGTTAAATAGATTTCTCTAATTGACGCCCTTTAAAGTAATGCCCAGTGCACGGTGTACATGTATTACTTGCTTGCCTACTACCCTCTGAAAACAGTAGCCTTTAAAATAGTACACAAAATTAAAGGCACAACAATTTTTTTTCAGAAAAATAGCGAACCCCGTGACCCGAGGGTGCCTGCCAAATACATGTAGTATTTTATCTATCTCGGTGATTCAAAATCATTAACTTTTAACAACGTTTTAATGTTTGCTTTTTAAAAAGGCATCTACCTCATACGGTAGACGACTTAGTTACTGCAATAACGTGCATTAGCTGCAATGGGATAATGGCCCTTAGATGTAAAATTACCTCAAATAGCACATTTATCCCTATGTGACCTTATTATGAACATGCATGTAACCCATGGTTTTCATTGATTGTCGTGATGACAACTTGCTATCGGATACGAGATACGCGAGGCATACTATTGTAACTTGCAATGTTCTATAATATCGTAAACAGTGTGCATTTGTATCAATGTAGCCTTGTTACATTACCTGCCGCAGCTGACATCTTGTATACGGATCAGAAGCAGGATGAAATATGTGACACCGATCTCGCTCACCGAATGACAAGTAAAAGCGACTACTGGCATAGAATAATAATAATCGGTGTGAATTTGCTGAGGTATCGGATCGCAAGTGATGGAAGTGTTATTTTATCAGGACCTTGAACGAAACTCACTCATGGAAATTGCGAAAAAAATTCCGTCACATATTTGCTTAGCTTTTGTTTTGAACTTTGGCTCAGGCCTCGGCTCTGTGGATTCACACGAGATCACTGCTGAATTCTTCCTTTATGCCCGCGATCAAAGACCTTTACTCCGGCTTAGGTGAGGTCGGCTTAACTGACCCCTAAGTTTTGATAACATTACGACCCAATAGAACTAATACCTGTCGTCTCCGTCATATCCAGGGTTTTGCTAGGAGGTGGGCGAGGGGGGGGTAGACGGGAGAGGGGGGGGGGACAAAAAAATAGAGGTTATAAGGACTGGAAAATTAAAGGGAATATGCATTATATGAAAGTAATATGTAGAGCATAGGAATGGAAAATTTCTTGATTTTGTCCCGTTTCGCTTATCGTACCGTCATTTTGGGACAGAGAAAGGTGGACTTCCGATGCTCTGAACGGGGGGGGGGGGTAACATATTCAGGTACATCTACATTTGTACAGGTAACTGAACCCAACAAACAGTAAGAAGATACAATTACATTAGTAATGACACATACACCTGCTAAGTCGAAAACCATAACAGACTTAAACATTCACTTTAAAGGTTTAAGCATCATGTATACCCCGTGTGTGTGTGTGGTGGGGGGGGGGGGGGGGGGGGGGGGTCACTGGAAACCCACCTTTAAATAATCACCATGTGTAATACAGATTTGAGTTTTTCAGAGATATGCAAATCCCGGGTTCACTTTAATTATGCTGAGAGGGGAAACATTTATAGGTAACGGCGAGTTCTTGCCGCCCTAGCAACACGAAGTACAGAGGTACAGATGTCTGCGGGTATAATAGTCATGTTATGTATTATATATTGCGCAGAAATATGCGTTCAGCCAGGCGATCAGTAACATGATAACTATATTTTCAGTCATGGGAGGAGGGGGGGGGGGTAATAATTCTTTTTCTAACTGAAGATAGAAACTAAGTTACCAACCCAACAAAACATCTGGCCAAAATTACGTAAAATAGCAGTCGGTGTACACTAAAATAATATGGCGAGTGAGAAACTTCTTTTGGGGTGCATCTGTTGGCCTAATTCAAGAATTCTTTGAGTGAGCTACTTACATTTCAATTTTAAATTACATTGACATTTGAATATTTGTATATTCGGTCGACTCCCGCGTTACATACTAATGCATACGTCTGAACTGTTCATGATAACGTACGAGGTGCAAAAGCGATTTATACTACTGCTTGCGTAAGTGTTGGAAATTTCCATCAGTCCCTTTAAATGCTCCTACTTCTTGGCTGTTTATTTATAAATATCACGTGACTCGTGACTCATGGGCAAAAGTTAGGGCTGTGATATGTGATGTCGAATGTATGTGCAGTGTAGTCAGTTGTCGGTCTGGACACAATACAAAACTATACTTGAGACCTGCAGTGCTCTTCTTTAGACCCGGGAAAAGATCAACGTACATTACTCCGATTGCTGTTATTGTCAACAAAAAACTGTTTGCGTATCACAATCCACTAGCGGATCGAGGATTTTGTCAAGGAGGGAGGGGGGGATAATCAATGTGCACTAGACTAACAAAAGAGACGACGGGACAATTTTACCATAATGTCTATAAAAACAGAGATTGTAAATTGCTTGGTTTTTGCCTCTTGTCGTTCATACCACTATTTTTGGAGGTAGAGTGGGTTCACATGGGGAGGGGGGGGGAGGGAGGGGGCGTGGACAAAGCTGCCCCTTTGCACTCGCCATTGCAATGTATAACAGTATTCCGGTCAATAATTTGCAAATTACAAGGTGTAGCAGGGGAAGATGGGTGGAGATGGTGCGGGAGGGGGGTATAAAATTCGGGGGGAAACTCTTTTCCATGTTTAAGTATCAGAGGTTAGACCAAAAATATTTTTGAACATCAGCAGCGCATCTTCAGTTCATATATACATTTTCCACAGTGGTTCATACATGTATAATACATACCAAATGTATACAATGTTCGCTGTTATTAAAAAAAAAAAAAGAACCAGTGGCTTTTTATAAGTCTTTATAAACATTATGCTTGTCTTTATCGATTTGAAAATTCCCCCTGTTGAAGTCAATAAAACATATCGGAAATCCCGATTAATTTTTATTTAAAAAATAAAGAATTGACTGAATAATAATAATAATAATAATAATAATAATAAGTTGCGACCGTCAGAGCGTCCAATATAAAAAAAAACAAACAAATGGATGGATTCACTTCAACTTCCAAATATTTTGTATAACTGAATAATGGCAATATTTATACCAAATAAACTCTCCTTCTCCAATGCTGTCTCCATTCATAAAGTCAGCTTCTCTATCACACTAACGTGATAGCTACCAGTGAGCGAGCGACTGACGTAGTCAATGTAATCATACAAGTAACTTACAACATTAATTAATCATAAGAAAGGGCATTTTAAATTACTGGCGAATACATTCATTTATCAAATCTGTCTGAATATACAATAATAATCGACCCTGAAAAGGGTGAACTTTTAACAAGGAGTGCCGGAGTATAGAACGACTTGAGTGCTCCCGTCTCTGTTTTGAGATGGCCCCTACCAGTATATCGCAGGAAGTCTTATTCCGCTTGATTAATCGTTCTTGCCATCTTGTTACTTTAAATCGGGTTTTTCACGCATAAATCGGTATTTCTAGCCGTCATTTTGATAATAGTTCGTGAGAGGATATTCCGCTCTGCTGTCTACCGTCCTGAAAGAGATTTCGTTATACCCTGCCTTCTCCACCTCTTCATTTTCAATCCTTTTCAAAAATGTCTTATATTGTTTCCATTTGTAAAGACGCCAAGCTCCAAGTATTACAAGAATTATAAACAAAGTCGCTCCTATTATGACTCCAGATACTACGCCTGGATCTGCCTGCGTGACGGGATCATTGGCAGAATCCTCTTCCGAATCTTCTGTAAGAGAGATGATAAAAGTGAAAATAAAACAAAAGGAGTAAGGCGCAAATAACCCTCAACCAGGGCCACAGATTGATTTCTGACAAGATATTCACGGGTTTTTCTCTTGCTCATTCTATGCACTTTGTTCTCCACTGAGAACTTGTGTACATAATTAACAGCATCAAATAGCTGGCCTTGGGTAGAGAACGCGCAGATCATGATTGCTTCGTCCACCTAACACAATTATTACACCTTACATGTACCTGATGGTTGATACTGCGACCTGAGCCTTGGGACTTATGTACTATAAACAGATACATATGCTTTAGAAGTTTCAGTACTATACTAAAAGGGGATATAGAGATTGCCATTGATTCATTAATACTCCTTTTCATGTTATGCTCCTCTCTCTCTCTCTCTCTCTCTCTCTCTTTCTCTCAATACCAGCAATACTAACCTGCACAGTTGGTTTCGTCCGAGAAATCGCCACACTGGTTTAATCCATTACACTTCACGTTCTCCCCAACACACTGTCCTCCTCCACACAAGAACTGGTCAGCTCTGCATGGTGCTAGAAGAAGAGAAGGGGATGAAAAAAAAAAAAACGCTAATTGTTGCTTTGAGTGGTAACTTTTCACAGGAGTGAAAGATAAAAGGTCAATTTGTGTCCTTTTAGCTCTTTTGAGATGGCCCCGTAATCCAGAGCTTGTTTGATTATTCATGAAATCTTGCTCGCACATGTCCCAACATAACTTGTCGCTAATACAACATATTTTTAGCAACCACGCCCGCCGTCTAATATTCAGCTTTTTTCTGTGGGGAATGTATCCTATTCCTTACGGCACTTTTAAAACTTTTTAAGCTGGACAGATTTGCGGTTAGTAACAACCTCTACCCACAACAGTCTGATGAAGGCCTACATGTACATCCCACCTTGTTTTATAATTATCAAATATGATCCGACTACCAAGCTAATAAACATTTGGACAGATATGGATTTATAACGTACTCTGTAGCTAGATCTACTTGAGTTATTGTTTCATATCGGCGTGCTTGCTTTTAAATAAAACTTTCTTGTTCCTTTTACTATTTCATTATTCCAATTCTCATCAGTAGTGTATTGAATTATTATGATGAAAAAATCATATCTTATCATTATATCTTTATTCTCTTATATCACTATGTCTCAACGACGGGTTGTCTCGTAATTAAGGTGATGGGAACAGGCGTAGCCATTGAGGGTGTGTCTCTAGACTGAGAGAAAAAAGGATTAGTGTTTACATATTACACTGTATTTTTAATGCTTTATTTACTCTGTGAGTTATTGATGCGTCATCATCGGTCGCACTCCCTCTAAGAGGCCAGTTGGGTGCAGTGATGACGTCTTTTTTTTTTCAAAAGCTCTCGCTGTAAGTAAATCTGCACAAAACACAATGTGCATTTGATATCCACATTATCCTTATGCGAGCAAAACAACAACAAAGTTTTAATCGGACGGTGAATAACACAATATTACGGTAAAGGTTTTAATGCTTAGCTGTTACAGCTAGGAATTATCATGCCCGAAAACTGCGCACATTGCAGAAAATAAAAATAAATAAATAAAAATGTAAATATGAGAGAGCCTCCTTAAGAGTTATATCACAAATAAATCTTTCTCGTTTAAAACATCCCTGTCACAATGTTTTCACTTCTTTTTTAGAAGTTTACTCATCGTTTTCATTTTTCTAAGAAACTCGATTCCCGTCAAATAAATATATAAATAAATATATAAACACATAAAAATACTACCTTGATAATAGGCCGTGAACAGTAGACTGAAACCCCTATCAACACCAGAGGAGTCTGTTCTGAAATGCACAGTCACGGACGTTGAGGAGGTAAGGAAATACAAGCCACTTCTACGGCCACACAGCGGTGCTGTCGGTATAATCGGGCTTGCGACGCTATTACCATCGTGAAGAGTCAAATTATCAAATTTACATTGACCGTCCGTGCTTTCCTCTATCTCAAATCTCTGCAGGACCAGTATGAGTCCAACGCCCCCCGTGGCTGTTGCGGTGAAGACGCAGTTCATGTTGTTGTCGTACGTTAACGCGGTGCTCGCCTCTATTCGCCCTTCTGCTGCCTGTACGTGACCGTAACATGTTTCCGTTAAGTAGTACACTGAATAAATGAAGTAATAATGATAATGAATAAAGACCGATTCAGGTAACACTGCAATCTAGGTAAGAAAATATGTTGTGTTGTTTCGTTGCTATGGAGAATACGTCATAGACGCGTTTTCTGCTGGTAGGCCTATATATCATGGTGTGGGGATAACGTTATTATTCTGATTAATCACGAGACAGAGAGTATAAACAGTTAACGTTGAAATAATGATCACTTTATTACATTAACTTAGCTAAAGACTACTTTGTTTAGACAAAATACAAAAATAGCAATGTGTCATGGCTTCAGATATTGTTCTTATTTTATTCATTTAACTATTTTGGAACTATTGTAGCCTGTCAATAAATAAAATGAACTTACCAGAATCTGAGTCCAGACCTTTAACATATCCAAACGTACAGAGAACAGCGACGAAAAAACAAGAGGGCAATCCACCCGTCTGTTGCAAACCGCCCCAGCAACCGTTCAAATACATTGTTTACAACGTTCTGTAAAATACGACCCAAGACTTGTGATCATAATTACTTATAAAAATCTCTTAATGCACGGAATCCAGTAGTTTATTCTCCGGCTGCAGCCATTTCCGAACTAGGTGAGAGACGGACGACCTGACATCCCTGACGCAGTTTGCAGTTTCTTCTCTTCTTTATACGGGCTATCACGCTTGGATTGAAATCTCCTCTCTGGTCTGATTTTTAGACATGAAAATCTGTCAATAGCGGCAATTAAGCCGTCTCCCGTGTGATTACAGCACTCCAAATCCACCTATTGACACGGATAGATAAAGCAGTCGGCACGGAGAGGTGTACACAGTGACGCTTATCACTGGATTAGTGTAGGGAGTACCGATTGCGTTAGAGAAGATTGGGTTCTGATCTAATCATCAATAAATACTACTTGAAGAATAGCCTTGAAGGCTCTCTCTCTCTCTCTCTCTCTCTCTCTCTCACACACACACACACACACACACACACACACAAAGAGAGAGACCCACAAGAGTGCGTTCGGGTATAATCATGCTTTTACGCCATATTCGGCTAAAACTTAGTAATGTGCTAAAAATTAAAGAAACGCTCACTATAGACCTTTTAATAATCAGGCCTATGACGTTTCCAGTATTGAGAAGTAACGAATGCTGGCCACAAAAAATTTTAGGCCTACCACCAATACAGGTGTAGGCTACCCTTTCGCAAAGAGCAGATCCAACACGGCCAGATTTGTTTAAATAAAGAACAGAAAACTGTAGATATCAAAATGATTAATATTTACTTTAAACACTATTTCATCTTAGTTTATCTCGTAGAAATTATTTATCAATGCTTAAAGATAAAAACAAAATATATCTGTAGAATCGATCATATGTTTATTGAATTAGCAGGCAGAAAGATGACATTTATTTACACAGTACAAAATAATATCAATGATTTTAAAATTAACCTTCGAAGCGATAGTGAATAGTTCCACAGAATGTGTGACGATAGATGAAGGTTTCAATAAGTCTATATCGTATCATTTAATAAACAAAAAATGATATTTGTATACAATAGGCAATGGTAACGAGCGCAAGGCATATTCTTTCTCTATTTACTTTTGTTATTCTCTAAAACGATAAAAACCTGTAAATTTTTACAGGTGTGTTATTGAAAGCATTCTAGCGTACGGAATTATAATATGGTATAGCGGAACAGCTGGGGAGGAAAGGAAGAAATTAACAAACGTAAAAACTGCAAGCAGGATTATCGGGCAGGATCTCCCCAAGCTGGATGATATTTTTAAAGACAGGATGGAGAAAAGAATTGTCATGCCATGAAAGACTCTTTCCATCCTGCATCATCTCTTTATACGTTTTTACCAAGCAACAGTAGACTTTTAACTTTTAAAGGCAGTAAACGCTTTTTAAACAGCTTTTATCCAAGTGCAGTGACGCATTTTAATTTGATCTCAAAACTAAATTCTTAATTAATTTATTTATTGTATTATTTTATTATTTTGCTCTGTATATTGCTCCAAAAGGAAAATGATTTCCGATTTTTATAATTGGCTAAATAAACTCTTATCTTATCTTAAAAAGAAATGAAAATTTAACAAGTTTTCTCCGACATAAAGCTGCATATTACCCTGCTATTTCTGAAGTACGGAATTCAGGATTGCCATTAGTATTATTCTGGATTAATAAGAGGCAATGCGTATGAAATCACCCTTTTTTTCAGCATGTGAAAATGAACATATCAGCAACGCGTGAAATTGTTTTTGAGTTTACTTAAAACATTTTCTCCCTATGCGAAAGTACTGGGTACACCGTTTGCCTGCGTACTCGAGACGTAAACGACGTCGGTATAACGAAACAGCTGTGGGCATTTTTTGATACGTTAGTGCTGTACGATACGAGTGTGACAGTACTTTTACCTGAACAATGTTCAAAATGGGACAAGTGACCACGTCGGTTGCAAAAGTCATTCATTCATTCAATATAAAATCTTGAGTTTTAATACGATTTTGATCTGATTTATATATTATATAAATAGCTTACATATATAGGCAAATCGATTGGTCGAGCGGTTTGAATTTATTGGGTTAAGACCATAACTGACATGCTCAATATTCACATTCCCGATAATTTGATGTTCAGGGGGGTCATCCCCCTACCCCAACAAACATCGAGGTTCAAATAACCTCTTGCTTACTTAAGTAAGTTTTCCGATCAATCATATTTTAGTATTCAACTGTTTGCAGTTGGTTGCTTGGTAGTCTCAAAGAGATGGTAATACACAAGGCAGTGTTAAAAAGATTTATCTAAATTTTAGAAAGAGCCATGCCATCAACCCTCATTTCCCCACGTTAATCCAACACTGCCTGTAAAGCAGCTTCTTAATCAGCAATTTACGAACCAAAACACGAACAAACGTAGCCAAGTGTATAGAATTTCTTGACTTTTTCACTCTTGGAGTGCATTACTATGCGGTTTTGTAACATTTCCTGCTACACTGAAGGAGTTACAGTATCCAAAAATTTTCAACTTTTATCAACACAGAAACACAAAACCTTATTCTGTCCATTCAATGATCTAGAGCATGACACTGTGAAACAACTATCAGTATATAATTCCAGTTGAACACTATCCTGACAAACTACACGTGGTACATGTATAACAGGGCAAATAATGGTAAATCTTTCATGGTAACATAATGATATTGTACCATATTATTTGTATAAATATCCCGTAAAGAATAAGTTGCTTATTGCATCTAAATAACTGTTATAAATCTCATTTGGTATGCCAGCAAATGTGGAAGTGAAAGTGAGAGAAAGAAACAAACCGCTCCCTCAGTCATCACTAAAAAGTTTAGTGCAATTACAGTTTTTGACAAATTTTCACACCTAGGGATTAGATCCAGAATTCTCTTCTTTACTGTAGCTGTCACTTTTATGCAGCCATCAGTACAGTATTACACAAAGTAATTTGTTAGCTAAGCAACAGCCCACTATTTGAAAGCTACTGCAAATTGCAAATTGGTCTCATATAATGAGAACAAATGTCCCTCAATAAAATGCTGTTTAATACAACATGTACAGCATACACCAACTAAAATGGTCCAATGTTGCCACTGAGGGTCACAATCATAAAAGGAAAATCTTAAATTATTTTTGCTGCTTGGTTTAAAGACCATATTCCCAATAAAGAAGTAAGGTAGGCATCTTTTTATGTCAAAAGGACATTTCATCAAACAGGACCCATATTTTAAGAGATTCACCATTTGGAGGCTCCTAGGATTGTGTCTGCTATATCCTTCTGGGTTAAAATATGGCGGACCTAGCATTTTGACAGTTTGGCTGTTTTGACAGTTAGACCCCATTTTTATAATTAACTTGTTGGAAAACCGCATGTATCTCAGTCATCACTGGGTTTCATGAATTCTTTTTTACTCTTTTTTCTTTTTACAGAGTCTCTTTCCTCTTGTTCATCATCTTTTGCTGATGATCTTTGACGCTTTTTGGTAAATTTTTTTGCTATTGTACCCACAAGCGATTCATATCTGTAAGAGAAAATGAAGACAAAAATAAATAGAGGAAAAAACAAACTTTTTCACTTGCTCGCAAAAATTGTATGCTTCTAAAGTATACCCTTTTAAAGGTACAAACTAAGATTTTTTCCATTTTCCTCAAGTCCAAAATTGTGAGGAAATATCATACTGTAAGAATTATCCATAATCACTGCCCACATTATACAGTATAAAATATGTAAACATTTATATATGACTATGCCGATTATAACATCCAGTAACACTTATAGTATGGTCAAACTAACCTTAAGTAACTACACATACACATACATTCTTACCATAGTAACATAACAATGTGAAGAATGAAGTATCTATTTTATATTTATGTTTTCATGTATGAGTAGCAATCTTAGATTTACTTTATGTACTACGTCATCACCATCTCTATGGTGTATTTGCTCCAATAAACGTTCTTCATATAACTTCATATAACTGGTGTATCACAAGCAATATACTGCCACTGACCTATTTGCCATTTCTTCATCATCCACACTGTTAATTTTTTCTCTCTCTTCTGAAGCTGCCAGCTCTCCTTCTGTCTCTAGCCTCTTCACTAACTTCTACAAACAACAACATAAGGCAGAAATGAGAAAAATATTGACCTGAAGTGTTTAAAGCTTTTAATTTACAAATTCTGAAGATTTTGAGGTTACATATGGGAAATGTGAAAGGGGGAGTTCTATATGATGTGATTGTAGGGCTCCAAATACCAATATGAGTGGGGGGAAAAGTCTATTGGTCCCTTGGGCAAGCAAGGTCTAAGAATCTACTCATCCAAAGCATAAAACAGTGACCAGTAACTGATTAAAAATTGCAAAATTTCACTGACCCAGCTGGCTTCAATTTTACTGGTATTTGCCATAGGCCAATGTTAATGTCACAGATTGAGGTATCTTAGGCATCCTTTGTTGCCCTTCCAACATCCTATCATAAACTGTTTTTATGCTACTTACTTCTAATTCTGGATTAAACCCTTTGAATGACATTCTACCAAATTTTAAGTCTTCTATTGGTACTAGGCTTGGTTCCGTGACAAAGTTATTTCTGTAAATAAGGTGAAATGATGCAAGAAAAGTGCATCATACAAATGACAGGCGCATGGTGACAGATCTAATTAATTTTGTAATTTGCACTTTAACATTTCTTTCACAGCCTGTCAGGTCACATCATACTCTTTCATAAACTTATTAACCAGTACCATGGGGTCAGTTCAACTTAGAAATCAAATAGTACATTATATTTGCCATACAAANTTAAGTGGGGGGGGGGGGGGTAACCATTCAGAAATGAAAATTCATGATTGGAACTAGGAAATTCTGCTTGGCACTCCATAGTTTTGTGCTTATAACTTAATGTGGTTGAAACAACGGAGGGGAGGGGGTTGGGTCCTTTGCCTGATGTGTACAGCTTCTCTCTAAAAAGTGTATTTGCAGGCATGAGCACGGATGCCTGTCTTCACTTACTCTTTCTGTTTGAGTTCTGGTATGTCTAGAACCCAGTGCTCATCATCAATGACTCGCTGTCTTTCCTCTTCATTCTGAACTTGTTCTGCTTTAACTGTGCATCTTTTCATAAACTGTGACAAAATTAAAATCAATTAGACCGAAGTAATCAATAAACAGTGCATATTTAGGTAAAGTTATAACACCAGTATAATAACTTACATGTATCTATAGCTATATCATGACTAGTAACATAATACGCTGGCCGTGATCGTGTTGCTTACATGTACAAATGTTCATGGTTGAAGGTTAACACGGGGTGCGCACATGCTGTAAGTTTTAGATATTTCTATCGAGTATGAACAATTCAGAAATAGCCTGTCTATTAAGATGTTGTTAATCATTATAATTATCGCAATGAAAATACCTTCATCTGAAGTAAATTCTTTGAAAGCTTGGTCTTCGAGGAAGACCCATGTGGACCTGCCATCTTTACCATCTACGTAATTAGGTCAAGTTATTATTAGTACAACTGACCTAGAAATTTCATTTCTATCGTGCGAGCAAATGCTCGTATCTCCAGCAGTGGATTTGTGAGCAATATTTCACTTATATGCGTACTCAGACACTTCAATTTTACATGTGTCGAAGATGCGAAACAGTCCTCTGAAGATGTGGGATTTCTGTGCCAGGAGATTTGACTAGGCAAGGTCCTGACTAGTCTGGTATATTTCAAAGACATGTGTTCGGTTTTGCAGCGTCGGTCAAGATGTTGCCGCGAAAATTGCTAATTTCGTTTTTAATCGGTTTTATATACTGTATATCTGGTACTGTATATAGCATGGTCAACATATATACGTGTCCATGATCGTGGGACTAGAGTTTAAGAATTAAGCTGTGTCGAACATTGAAGCAGTACGTCTTTACATATACATATGTAGTTATTCGGCATTAAATTTGTAAACCAGATATTCACGATATTTAAGTCCCTGCACAACTGAACTTTAAGCATGAATAAGATCTATAGATCCCCGCAAATAAATGAACCCCACCTCTGCAGAGAAGACTTTGGGTGAAAGCTGAGATCTTTGGGATCTTGTGTTTGCACATCATTATGAGCAGGTAGATTTTATGTCTTTTATGTTATTCAGATGCCAACAGCCCCATCTTCTTTAATGAAGAAAAAAAGGAGTGAAGATTTATAATCCGCATTATAAAGCATGGCTAAGGAAATACATATAACTCTGTTGAAGGTAATGTTGTGCTGTACATGTATATATGTATGTATGTATGTATGTATGTATGTATGTATGTGTGTGTGTATATATATATATATATATATATATATATATATATATATATATATATATATACACACACACACACACACACATACACACACACACACACACACACACACACACACAAAGCAAACATGTAATGTAAGGCACTATCTGACACTACAACCAGAAAAAAATGCATGTTTTAATTTATAGCATGTTGCATATAATAACTTTACAGAAACGGGGGGGGGGGGGGCATTTTATGTAACAATCATGTGTGTGTTATGATGGGATATGTACTCCAAATCTTACACAATATCTGTAGATGGAAGACCTGCACCATGTGTGGTACAGGGAAGCATGTGGCATGATATGACATCAAATAACGCAATATAACATATGAGTAACATGACATAACACAATTTATAGGTGGAAGACCTGCACCTTGTGTGGTACAGGGAAGCAAGTGGCATGATATGACATCAAATAACACGATATAATATATGAGTAACAGAACATAACACAATTTGTAGGTGGAAGACCTGCACCATGTGTGGTACAGGGAAGCTGCCAGCATCAGCTGCTCTGAGGAAGTGAAGAAATACCATGAGATGATGGAGAAACTCAATGAATTGATGGACGATGATCAGGCCATTACCCACAAAGTTCACCACCCAGCTATAGGACAGGTAGAGTTATTTTGCTTTTATTGATATATATGTTCTGCTCACCTTGCAGTGTATGTATTTTTTCAAAATTTTTTTAATGAGCAGTAATAGTCATTATCAGGAGTCTAACCTGTCCATGTATGTGGTCTTTTCTTTCTTTGAAATTTTTTGATGAGGGAATAGAATTCTCATTTCCCTAAGTCTTCGTTTTACTAATAATTTCTTTCTCATTATTATAACCATTCAAAGACTTTTATGTAAAATGTTATTTTTTCAACAATTTTGGATGTGGCATATTTTGGAAATTAAGGTTTTTTGTTGTAGTGAAAACATTCTCTAAAAATTAAACTTTCTGCTATATGAAGCTATATTGCTCATAGTGTGACTTTTCCAACAGTTCTATGCTGGCAGGGATGTGAAGGAAAGAAGATGGTTCAGAGTCAAGATAAAGAATTTAATGCTTGCTACCAAAAATGGACCTACAGCAAGGTGTGTTTTAATATAATCATTTTTTGAAGATTTTTAAAATAAATGGAATGAATATTATGATTTTGAGCATTATTTAAACATTTAATAATGTTTTTAAAAAGTCTTAAAAATGTTATTTGAAAACTTGGTTAAAATAATTTAATATTTTTTTAAACCTTTAACATTTAAAAAACATTTTCATTATAATTTGTTTTCAGTTGCTTCCGTGTGGACTTTGCAGATACAGTAATGATTCAGTTTTCAAAGTAGGTACAATATTTGTGGTAAATTGTAGGGTCTTAACTTTATTCAAACATGCTATATAACGTATTAAAGTTATCAAATGTCAAAATGTACTTAATTTTATTAAATTTTAATATAGTACAAATTTCGATTGTAGCACATAATTCAGTGAACATTTTCATTAAGGTATTGGTTGTAAAAGCTTTATATGTAAACTGTATTTTATTAATCATTTAATTTGATTTTCAGCCTGAGGATTCTCCCAGAAGAATATGGTATCAAAAATATACCTAAACAAGCCAAAGAGATGGCTTTCTATGGCTTGCAGCCTCTGACTTTAGTCACAGATCTTATAGAAATGAATACCACACCAAAGTAAGGACATTGCAATAACATTTTTTAGTAAAAACAATGTATTTATTTAACTTTTTACCTTTTCTTCTTAAGACATTAAATATAACTCAGTAAGTTGCCTATTTTTAATGACACTGAAATGAAAAATTAAAGCATATTTATTTTGTCTGTATGATATCTATAAGTTTTCACATTTTAAAAATAAACTTTTGAGAACCAATGCTGTATTATATAGAGTGTTGGTTAGTTGGATTAATGTTTGAATTATCCTTGATTTTGAAGGCCCTGTTTTAAGTGGAGTGTGTCTGCTGTAGAGCACGTCAGACGTAAAGTCAAAAGTAAGTAATGATATCAACTGTTGTATTGCAGTGCCACCTGGTGTGACTTCTGACACAAGAGGTCACATCTTTCTAGCACCATAGATATTATCCTCTGTGGCACAATTCACTACTGTGACACCTTGTTGAATACAGTTATCAAGTCAAAGCAGTAATATAAACTCTGCCCTTAAATAACTATAAAAAACAAAATTTTATTTTGATGGTCTAAGAACAGTTCGTTAAGGTGAGGGCCTGGTCCTTTTTAAGAGTTGTGAGTAGCTACCTCTACCTCCTTAGCCATTTTTTGAAGAAAAACAATGAAGACCAAGGTGAAAGTTTTGATTAAGCTTACTAATATTTACCTGGGGATCCCTACTGTATTTTTTTCCTCACAAAACTCGTAATAAAGCATCCTTTGATTTTCCTACCCCTCAGATCATAGCTGTAAAGTCCAAATAATGGGTACAGATCACAATGGCCGCCATTACGTTCGCCTTTTCGCCAAGATGGCGGACATGGAATGGATGTGCATCAACGATGACTTAGTTGAATTAGGATATGCTGTGTTTTCACACCAAGTTGCAGAACAAGGTAATCATGGAGATTTTGTATCTTTGTAACTTCAAGGATATTTTTGCCATAGATCTGAACATTTCCAAGTAGTATCAGTTTTATATTATTCAGTTTGTATCAGTATTTACTAGTTTCACAGAATGTCACCTATTTTTGAAATTCCTCAGTGACAGCCTGCTGTGTGTGTGTGTGTGTGTGTTTTAGATTATTTAGAAATCAAACTTTTCTGAAAGCTAGGCTCCTTTTTATAAAACTAATGGATTTAACAATTTTGCCACTGTTTTTATATAATTTTAGAATTAGTATGGACACGTAAGTCAGATGAAAATAATGGACTGAAAGGCTTTTTTTACCAACAAGAAAAATCAGATATCAGATTTAACTTTATACTGTTGTAAAACCTCACAGAATGATTGTGTGATATTCATGCTGAGAAATTAAGCAGTTTGCACAATGCATTGCTATCTATGTGGCTTATTTCAGAAAAAGCAGGTTCCACCTCGCCCTATACCACAGAGACAAGATCAAAGCCCAGCTCAAAGTCTCGTACTCTGGATGACTTTTTGGGAGAGGAAAAGGAGAAGGAGGAGATTCGACAGAAACAGAGGCAGCAATACCTGGCAGACTACCCACAGTCTTCCCACTCCCCCTCACTCCCTACCTTCATCAGTGATGAAAACAGCAGCGATGGCGAGATGGAGGCTATTAGAAGACAAATACAGTCACTAGAGGGCAGCAAGGGTAGTGATAACATAAATACAACTTCACAGCCGGTTGTGACTGGTGGAGGAGATGGCATTGACCAAAACACAAACCTGCACCAAAAACCACTTGTGAGACCAGGTGGTGACAGTTACGAAAGTGATTCTGCTGTTAAACAAAGAATCACAAGATTGCCATACCAATCAGAGGCACAACCAAATATGATTGGCCAAGGCAGTGGAAGGTCAAGGTTAGGTGCTCAAAGGGGGTCACCGAGTACTGATACACCTCAGGAACTCTTTGGGACTAATGTTGCATCCAGTATGGTGCAAAGTGAAAAATCATGTACCAGTCATCAATTACGAACAGGGCAAACATTTGAGCATTCAATATCAAATCCAGTGTCAGGACCAACAGATGTATTGTCTCAACAGGTCACTGATTCACACGGAAAGTCATCCACAAGAACCAGTATTCCTAATCCCCAAAGTCATGTTCCACTTAGTGGATCATCTCTCCTTTCTACACTAAAAAAGCTCAGTCCATCAAAAAGTAACGTAGTTGAGACCACGAGTGTCAACAGTCCTGGAGAAATGCACCCAGACCCTTCATTGTCGACAGATCTGGAAAGTCCAAAATCAGTTTTATCTTTCGAGGCTGACAGCAGGAAAGCAGAAACACACGCAAAGCCTAAGATGCCATCTTTGCTGTCAGCTTTGAAAAGTCAGACTGCAAGACAGCAGGTGTCTGGTATTTCTCATGCCCAACCCAGTGCCTGTAACAGTTCTGAATTGAGCTCAGGGTCTCCTGCTGTATTGGGTAGAGTAGTAGAGCAAGCCAATGGAAACAGTGCTGCCATGGTGATGAACAAGGTTGAGCTGGTCCCACAGCAGGATTTAACTGCTTCACATAATTCTCCAGTATTAGGTGCAGAAAAGGAGACATTTTCAACCAGAATATCTCCAGACAAAGTGCCCTCTAATATGCAAAGAAGCGAGCCATCTATTATGGTATTGAGTAAACCCCCACAAAAGCCCATGGGAAGAGCCTCCATGTTGATAAATTCTCTCATCATGGTGAATTCTCCTAAAGTTGGTCTCTCTGTTAGAGATATGGATGCCACTGTGAGCCCCGATGGTAAGAGGACTAGTCTTGTAAAAGTTTCATCAAGTGATGTTCACAAGACGGTATTCAAACAACCCTCTTGCTCTGCAGTGGCAGACTGTGAAACAAGCAGTCAAACTGAAAAACAACAAGAACAATCTGAAGATAATTTGTTGTCTCCTTTCACTCAATTGGCAGAGAAGCCTGACCCTGATGGTCTACAACCAGAAGAACAGGCAGTCATGGAGGAACAGCTGACAAAAACAGAGGAGCAGGTATCAGTCGAAGATAAGACTGAATCTGAAATTCCTCATGATTTGATAGAAAGAAGACTGGAAATAGAGGATGAAATGCTAAATCAACCAGGCTCATCTGACTCTTCTTCAGCATCATCTCGGTCAAGCAGAAAAGGAAAAGGGAACATCAGTTGGGCAGAAAAACCAATAATACATACTTTACCTGACACACCATTGGTATCACAATTCCCTTCAGAGGTCTACAGAGTATACAGATCTGTTGCCCTGGAAACTGTTTCTACAGAAACTGCCCAAGATGGCCAATCAAGACAGGCTCAATTATCCACACAGTCACCTATTACACAGACACAGGTAGCAGCACAGTCTGTAGGTGGCAGTGGTGCTATATCAAAGAGACCCACCACTGCCCGCCTGCCTGGTGTGGCGCTACAGAAACAGAAAAAGGAATCTCAAAGTCCTGATATTTTGAACACACCTTCCCCACCTCAAATACCAGGGTAAGTTGTTTTAGTGTTATTTTAAAGGTTAGTGTAATCCATTACCTAAATGGGATATTTTGTACTTGAATATCAGATTATTAAGTTTTATTGATGGCCATTAGATGTACAAATGATTTATAAAAAGTTTGCCCTGTAAAGTGCCCCCCCAAAAAAACAAAAACAAAAAAAAAAACAAAAAACATTTCATACTTTTTGCTACTAAGGAGCAATATTGGTATATATGCTGAGTTTACAAAGCGAATTACTGTGTCTCCAGGTCTAGTGGTAAACCCTTGAAGTCGATCCTGAAGAAGAGGGATTCTAGTGTCTACTTCTCAGACCAAGAATCCAGTCCACTGAAGTGAGACCATTTTTCAAAACTTTTTATATCATTTTTATGGTGCATTAAAAAAAAAAACAAACCCTTAATCAAATATATTTTGGTAATAACTTCCTTCATTTACTTGTTGAATTCGGAATCGAGAGTGCACGGGATAAAGAAAATTTCAATGACCTTGCAACCTCTTATGTTGACCTCTGACCTTTCAGTCTCCCTGGTGATGTGGTGCCCTCCCCCAGGTATTCTTCCTCTGATTCTGAGACACTTGGTAACCCTGGAGAACAGGGGACACCAGAAAGGAGGTATTTTTTGTGGCATTTTGATTTCTCATTACATCTTTTCAAATTTTATTTCATGTTTTTGTACAGGTAAATCAGTTTGAGTCAGATTTTGTTTGTCAGTGGAAATAAGAAATATTGAAGTTCTAACATGTTTTTGATAAATATTGTGTTTGAAATGACATGTTTAAATTAAAAGGACCTTCTATGTTTGCACTTTCAGAATCCTAGACGAAGACCTTTTTAGCTTTTTTCATGGACAACATTTTGGATCTCCCATGCTAACACAGCAGGTAGGTTCTAGTGTGGGACACAGGTAAACCAATTTTATGAGTGGTTTAAAAATAAAAAAGCTGGGTTTACATTATGATGTCCTCAATAAATAGGGTCAATCAACTGCACAATTAACACTGGTTGTCATGGCTCTGTTCAATCCCACTTATATTAAACCAGTGAATTTTTAGATTTAGTCTACAAATATGGATAATATTTCAAGTTATTTACTGTATTCTGAAGGCTCGAGGACTTCCACAGAAGGACATCAGTGAACATGGGGTGCTGGTGGACGGGGAGAGACCCTCGCCACCATGTTTGTCTGTGACCGATGCAAACTTTGATGATCTTGTCAACAGGGTGAGATTTTCTGAAAAATAATCTATAAAAAATATTTATATGAGAAAAACGCACTCAGTTGTTTACATCTCTTTCCATTTTAATTTTTGAGTTGTAACTTGCCCAAAAAGTTTAGAATGAATATTATCTTATAATATGAAAGGTTTTCAAGTAGATAATTGTAGGCTAATGAAATATCCACCATAATCAATGCACACTGTTACAAATTAGTTTCATTGATATAATGCAACTCTTAGTAAGTATTGTAGTCAGATTTATGTATAGCATGTGCATAACTCATATTACTAGTATCCTTACTATGAATCATGTAATGATGTTGTTGACATGTTCCTGAATTGACATCTTTTAATCAGGGTTTATATGACAGAAAGTTTGGCGCCCCAATCCTGGTTCAAGCTTACATATGGCGACCCATGATGCGGGCCCGTCATGTTGTAGCAGTGTCTCCCCCTAGAAGTGGTAAAACACTGGCGTACTTGTTGCCTGTGATATCACATATACTGCAGCGGGACACATACAAAGATGTGCCTGCAGGGAATGGGGTAAGTGGAATTTAGGCTTGCAGGGTACTTGGTAAGAATTTTATGATAATGCTCTTGAATCCAAAAAAAGATAAAAATTGATGGTTACAGGTGTCCTTATGGATGTTTTCTTGAAATTCTGTCATATTGAAAATGAATACTATTTTACAAATTTAGTAGTCTCTTTCTGGTTAGTAAAATAATTTAGTTTGGTTTTCTGCAGTTCTTTTTTCTTTTCTTTTTCTTTGGAGCAAATTATGAACTGTAAAATTAGTGGAGTTATTATTATTAAACTTGCTAATATTTGGATTTTTAATATAATAATTGGACTTTTTCTTTCAGCCCCTAGCCCTCATAGTGACCCCGTCCTGGAAGAAGGCACAGCAAGTATTTGACTGGTGTTATGACTTCCTTGGTGGCCGTCCTGACGCCAAGACGCTGATTATATATGGGGGCGGTTCAGAAGAGGACCAGTATGTGAGTGTCCAAGATATGTGTCTTGTTTTTTGTTCACTTGATGTACTACATAAATTTAAATTAAACATACCACTCTCTTTTCGTCTTTTGAAAGTTATACTTTAAAGTTAACAATTTTTACTGCCTGCTTTTTCAAAATGTCAAAATTAAGATGAAAGTTGTTTTAATGTTCAATTTTTATGTAATATTATGTGTGTTACACTCATCAGGCTTCCACCCACTGCCTCCTCAAGATGAAAGAAAAATGAGAGTGCCCATGTGCATCAGATTATAATAATGATAATATTGTGTTTTTGTTGGTAGATCCCACTGCTCAATGGTTGTAAGATACTGGTGGCTACCCCCTACTGCCTCCTCAGGATGATAGAGAAGGGCTACACCAACCTCAACAGACTGTGTCACCTTGTCATGGATGATGCTGATGTCCTCACAGAGGACTTCACTGACCAAGTGAGTGAGAGAATTTAACATTTATACACTCTGATTTTGTTTTTTATGAGCAGTAATCTCTCTCTCTCTCTCTCTCT